AAAAAGGGGAGCTAATTCTGGGGAAGCAAGTAGACAACATTCCGTTCGATCTTGTGGACGGCCACGATTCCGAGAATCGTAATTCCTTCCAGACAAGGTGCATCTTCCGTACCTCAGTGTGCGGCAAGCGCTGCGTCCGATAAGCGGCTGACAATGTGGGCGCCGCTGAATAAAAAGAAGCGAAATGAACCTAGAACCCAACCGTCTCATGTGACATAGACTTCTTTTTTGTGCCGCCTCGCCTGGAATCAGGTCACACCATAACAACAAAAAAGCCCGGCAATCCCACAGCACTCCTGCCCTCAAGCTTAGCGATGCAAAGGCAGGCCTTTGGGACAGGCACTCTTGAGCTGGGTTTATCGCAAGCTGTTTTTTGCCAGGACGAGTCCAAGATTGAGGCCTTCCACTAATTGCCAAGCCATGCCCTGGTTTGGTTCCCAGGCATTGCAACTAAGTCGGTCAGTGACCCCAAACAACGGTTGCTGGGGGCATACTGTCATCTCCAAAAAGGCCACGCGTCTATGGCAATCTTACTCGCCCTTGTAGGAAAAAGGTCCCATTCCGTGTTGCTCGTTGTGAAGCAAAACTAAAACCCATCAAACAGAAAGGAAAATGAGACCAGAACTATTCGACTGGCCCAGCCGCTTGGAGGCCTTCTATACACATTTCGCGCATTAAGGATCGGGTAAGCCGATACTATGTGCTTGATTGTTGCGTACTCGCCTGCTTGCTTGCTGGCTTGCTTTCTTGCTTGATTTAGCGCTGTCTTGTGTTCTTGCTTTCTTGCGTGGTTGATTGGTTGATTGGTTGCTTGCTTGATTTGGCGCTGTCTTGTGTTCTTGCTTTCTTGCGTAGTTGATTGGTTGATTGCTTGTTTGGTTGGTCGGTTGCTTGCATGCTTTTTCGCTGCTCGGCACCTACAAAGAAAGGCACACATTTCACGCTCTCCCTGACCAAGATGTCTTTTCCCGCTAATAACCACACCCTAGTAATAAATATAATTTGTCCAAGACCCCAACTCCACAATAAATGAGAAGTAGACCTGCCGATCAGTTTGGCCCCCAGGCGAAAATACTTATTAGGGGTGGAGCGGGGGCTGTCTTTAGGGAGCAAGGATTTGTCAGTTCTGCAATCAAGTCCAGACATCCCTGGCATCTAAGCGCCGTTAGGGCGAGCCATGTAACGCAAAGCATTCAGAGCCAGGTTGACGCTTGGAGGTCTAGTAAGCTGTTACGCTTCCCATCGACCAAAAGCGCATCATGTTGACGCCGGATTCCCGATGAATACACGGTGCCCCCCAACGTGCAGGATCGTTCAAACTTGGCGGCAGTTGCCCCCTCTGCAAAAAGCTTGACTTTTTCTTGTTTCTGAAGATCCAACCCATGAGCAATAAAGAGCTTGTGTCAAAATTAGGGAACCCCCAAAATGTGTGGCTTCCTCTTGGTTTCCTTTTAAAACCAACCCAAAAAGGTTATACACCCAAAAAATGCGACACGCACTGACACCACCAGAACTTCAGGAGCTCGTTGGTTCCCAAATCTTTCCGAGTGGCCAAGACGTTCCAGCCGCGGACGTCGATGCCAATCTCTACCCACTCGTTGTTCGGGTCCTGGAGCTGAGGAAGCCCCCCAGGGATCTTCTGCTTAGTTCTCATGGAAGGCTGACGGAGTCCTGAAAGAGTTCTGAGAGCCTCAAGATTGGACTTGAGCTGAAAAAAACTGAGCGCACTGTCAGTCGCTGGAGTTTGCAGCAAAATTAGGGTGAGGCCATGCTTTCGGTGGGCATTGGGTAGCTAGGTGGAAGCCACAAGTGGGTGACACTGCATAGGACAGCTTCAATGCATCTGGAAACAGCCCATTCAACTGGAGGCTCTGATTCCCGTCGGGGGAGCCATGTGCGAAAGAGATACCCGAATGGATGTGGCTCAAAATTAAACAGGATGGGTTACGCAGGTTTTGGTTCATGGTTCCACTTACCAGGGTTGATTTTGGTACCGGTCTTTTGAGCCACAGCCAAATAACAAGAACTCATTTGATCTGTTCAGACGTGAGCCAAATGGAGATGACAACAACATGGTCCATGTTGGCAGCCGAGCTAGATCCATGAACTTGTTGGATTCTGCCCGAATATTGACAACTATTCTGTGTAGGCCTTGCTCTTGGTGTTGCTGGGTTGAGCGTCAACCATAGAAGAGTCACCCCACTTTGCAGACACTTCCCATTTTCCCCCTTGCTCAAGCAAGGTGAAACTGCTATTTACAGGGTGTCCTTTGTAAGGAGGCAACCCCGCACCCTTAGAGTGTTCAATCCTGGGTCGACAGAGTTGCAAAGATGGTGCTTGTGGACGTTCCAGCGAGGGAACCAATGATCCGTCATCCTATTCATCAATGGGCAAGGTTGCAAAAAGGAACATGTTCAAAAGCCTCAAAGCAATCCAGCGCCAGAGAGAGATCATCCGGGCGGTGAATGAAGGGGGGGTGGTTTAGCCAAACAAAAATCAATCCATCCCTGCGTGGCCAGTCAGGATTGACGATCTTGCACCCAGGAAACACACTGAAGGATACACACACACACGCACATCGAGCTTGCCTTTCCCACCCAAACTGAACATACCAGGCAGTAAAGCTGTGCTAATAAAGTACTCGGACCTATGTCTTAGGCAAGCAACCAAGACAAACTTGTTTCTCCGGGGCCCCTTGCCATTGCGGAGGATTTTCTTGGTAGAAACAAACAATGTGCCGAATCGTGTTCAGAATGTCGCTCAGAACCCCTTATCCCATGCACGTCGCAGGACATGTGCATAGCAACCAAAACGCACCCAGAATGCGACCTGTTGACAGGCCGCAAAGACCAACCCACTCGAGTAGTAGTTTGGAATGGCGGCCTGAACATGAAAGGGTAGGCCCCCCATGTCAACAACAAGCAAAGGTTCCACAGACCTCCAACATATGCCCTCAAGAAAAGCAGTGGAAATACGTTGAATTCCAAAAAACAACGTGCACCAGGGGTTCCACTAGGTAAATCAAGCATGCGCACCACGCACAGGTCGGCATGAGCCAGTCCTTGATGATGTAGCCCGACTTCGTGATCAAACATGGCTTGCCGTTGTATTCCTTGCTTCGCAAAAGCATGCACAGCAACACAACAAACAAACCAACAAACAGGTAGGCAGGCAGGAAGGCAAGCAAGCAGGCAGGCAGGCAGGCAAGGCAGACACACAGACAGACACACTGAGTCACGCTGAGCCACCGACTCACTGATTGTCACTGATTGTCACTGGCTCATTCTCACTCACTCACTCACTCACTCACCCACCCACCCACCCACCCACTCACTCACCTCACTCACCTCACTCACCTCACTCACCTCACTCACTCACTCACTCACTCACCTCACTCACTCACTCACTCACTCACTCACTCACCCACTCACTCACTCACTCACTCACTCACTCACTCACTCACTCACTCACTCACTCACTCACTCACTCACTCACTCACTCACTCACTCACTCACTCACTCACTCACTCACTCACTCACTCACTCACTCACTCACTCACTCACTCACTCACTCACTCACTCACTCACTCACTCACTCACTCACTCACTCACTCACTCACTCACTCACTCACTCACTCACTCACTCACTCACTCACTCACTCACTCACTCACTCACTCACTCACTCACTCACTCACTCACTCACTCACTCACTCACTGACACTCTGACACTGACACTGCAACTGACTGCCAGTGACACTGACACTGACACTGACGCTGACACTGGCCCTGACACACTCACACTGACGCAGCAACGCGCTGACTCACTGGCTCACTGGCGCACTGCCTCAGTGACAACATAATGAAAGCTAGAGGTGGGCCTGAAAGGTACGCCGGTTGCTTCCCAACGCCACGTAGCCCCTGCCCTGAGGTGCGCCTAGGTGTGCCTACCCAACATTCGCCGCGTGGAACTCCACACAAAACTGCTGCTTGTTTGCCGTTCGGTCTAACGGTTGTCAGCGTGGAACGCTATCTTGGGTCGACAGTATTCAGGAAGTCGCGTTGCGACACGCATCCTGGTCGAACTCCAACTTCAAACCTTAGCGTTCTTTGTCGATGCAAAAATGGACGCACCACGTCCTACAGCCCAAGGCCCCTACTAGGAAGATCATGTCCTTGGATCATTGGCTTGCGCTGTTCGCTCACTACATCATGTCCGCGACAGGGCTTGTGGTAGCCGCTGGTCGTGACTGAAGGATCCCGCATCTCAGCTGCCCCTGCTAATTTGCGAGACGCGCCACACCCCAGGACCAACCGTCTGGACAAGACAGACTTTCGCGGCTGCGCTACTCCGTGAACTTCCGCCGGTCTCCTTCACAACGCGCTGCGCCGCAATGGCCGCCATGCACTCGTGCTTCAGACAAGTGGCCGCGTTCTGAGGCATAGTCGCTGGTCGGCAGCTGCAGCAGAATCAGTTCGAGACTTGTGATGAAGGCCATCGAATATAGCGTCCCGACATGCTATTTGTTTCTGCTCCCTCCAATCTTTCCGGGCGCCGATTGCGGGGCCACTGAATCTTCTTGGACTCGTCCTTACGCCAGCCGACATGTCCAGCTTAGTGCTCTGCAGCGAATATAGTGATATCCATGCACTATATATGGCGCGCCAGCTTTTGAATGCGTTGTGTGAGAAGATCTTCGGGCTTGAAGGCCTGTTCCTCCGTGATGACGCAGAACTTAGCCCCGCTGGGCCAGAGACCTCACGTGCGCCGGTGTGTCAAATTTAATTCCGGCTACCGTTCTCGCGCAGCGAGTGTCAGGCAGAGGAGCGTGGTTGATGTGCACCAAACACGCCTCCGCGGCGTCTGTGTCGTCATGCGCACTATCCCCGGCCGTCACTGCGAACACCGCCTTGCTCTTGGGTCTGCTGCCTGAGGACACCCAGCATCGGCACGCCAATGCCCATAGACAGTTCGGGCCGCAGCCTTGCACGCCGCGCGGCATTCATTCCTTCATGCACTTGATCCTGCTCTCGCGCTCCTCAAAGGACTCATTCTTGCTGAAGCCTTGCTCTTTAACTTTGTCTTGTTGAGCTGCCGCGTGGGTCATCAAGATGCCGGCGTCCTCCTCCAGGGCCGCCGCCTCCTCACATCTTCATAGATCCTCGTCATTCTTGCCCTCGTTGTCGCGGTCGTTCACTTCGTCGGCATCCACGATGTTCACCCATAAAATCCGTCTCGCTTGAACTTATGATGTGGACGTATGTCCACTCATCGCCCCATTCACGATTCTCCCAGTCGCGACTGCTCACGCCAAAATGGGTCTGCGTCACCTTGCCATTCATGTTGCCAGCCTGAGCTTTGGCGTTGCCATTCACCTGCGCCCCAGTCGCCCTGTCGTCGGTATGACTTGTCCTTTCAGCCTGCTGCTTCCTCCGGGCTTTGCCTCACTCCACTGCTGCCATGCTGATCCCAGCTCGCCCTGCCCCGCTGCCAAAGCTAATAATCACCATGAGCTCACGCCTGTTGCCGATACCCTGCGAGCCACGTGCTGCAGCATGCACTCAGCTAATGTGATGATAAAATCTCGACGTGTTACGCATCAACTGGTCAATCGAGCCCAGCACAAACCACAGTTTGCACGTCAGATAACCGAGGTCAGAACGAGGTTTTAACAAGGTCCGAAACCTGCAGGCGTCCACCGTGGGCACAACACTTGGCAGCAGCAGCAGCAGCAGCAGCAGCAGCAGCAGAGGTACGTAGCAGAGGCAGCACATGCACAAGCACAAGCTTGCAGCAGCAAAAACAGCAGCAGGCCTGCTCTACAAGGGGGCATCATGAAATGAGGCCAAAGGAGCCTGAAAGGATACTCTGAAGAACTAAGCAAATGCACACACACACACAGGTTGTGGGTTGATGGACAGGCGGGGATTTGGCAACATCTACCCTGCATGGAACCCCGTCCAGAATACAGTCCCCACCAGCACTCAAACAAAATCAATCACAAGGCACAGCTTTACGGTTTCCCTGTATTTGAAATCAGGCGTGCCATGAGTTCACTGCCTTGAGCCAGAATAGATCTAATGAGTGCGGCTGTGAAAGCCTTTAATCACAACTCAACCTTAGTTCTAGGGGTAACTTCCAGATTCTTTCCACTGGTCCTTCTTTCTAGAAAACAACCAAACACCCTGGGGAAATGGCTGGTTTTTGAAAAAAAAACGATGGCTGAAAAGAAGGGGGGAATCAACCCCTAGAATTGTGTGCGCGTTCAGTGCTAAGCAGGCCGCCCACGGAGAGCCGGAGAGCCGAGGGGCATTGAGCATCTCGGGCACGTTCACATCTTCTGGGTTCAAACACTTTGCGTTGGCCTAGCAGGAGATTCGAACCAGACAGGAAGCTAAACACACAGTGCTGCTGTATGGGGGGTGGACCTCCGAATCAATCTGAATCGCAAAACAGGAAGCCGATAAAATTATGGACGTCTCTCCAAATTGGGGGGCCCAATAAATTGCATTTGTGTGTGCAATTGTTCTGCTCTTGTTACTCTTTATGGGAACAAGTTGGGTCCCAAAATCGCGCGGCTGCCCTCTTTTGTTCACCCTGGAGGAAACCCAAAAAGGGTATCCTTCAAACAAGAAGGAACCAAACCGAGTTGGGGATGTATCACAACTGGTCGAACCTTCTGCGGTTCGTTGCCACAAGACACCACAAGGGATTTCACAGAATCGAACTGATTTCTCCAAACTAGGTCCTCCAGTAGAGAGGTTAGAACAAGGGTACCAACTTTTTTTCTGTAGTCTATTTTTATTTAGTAGGGGGAACCCTCCCCCCAAAAAGTTGGCAAAAGGCCGCGCTACTGGGGGACCTAGCAAAGACAAGAAACACTCCAAATCGGCCCCTGCAGCATAAAACGCCAAACTTGAAGTGATTCGGACCACTGGCGTGGAGCGAATACCAACTTCTGGGACGGCGCTTCTTCCTTCAAAGGGGAGAATGCCGACCACCATCTCATGCCAAGTGGTGGGAAAAGCTTATGGGTTTGTTGGGTCCGTCTAATGCGGGAAGCCCTAAATGGGAGGTTGCTCTAGTGGGAGCCTGGTTGCAGATTCTGTACAATCATCTGTGAAGTCGCGAAATACAATCGCATGGTGGCTCAGTACCAAGTTCCTGCAGCTTGCATGGAATTGCCTGGGGAGGATATGTGCCATGGAACAAAAACTCTGTTAGTCATGGTTCCCCTAAAAGGAATCCTTATCATGATGGCACATTCCTTATGGAGCGAGTCCAAGACAATGCTTACCAACCCCAGTGAAGGGTGCTTCCACCCAGGCCCATATTGAACGCAGCACTGCGGAGGGCTATCACCCAACCACATCGAACCTCACGATGGAAAATCGAGTGACGAGCCGTAGGCTGCAGGTCTGCCACGCGTCGGGATCCGAGTCCAAGTTCTCAAGCTGCAGTTGCCCTTGAAACAAAAAGTTAGGTCGTGACGTAGAGGAGTAGCAAGCAAAGCAAAGACAAACAGAAAGTTACAAAGGATGATGGCTCCTAACACTTGCGTCATGAGTGGTTGCTAATCGGATGTTTTTCAACTCCTTACCTGCCTTCAAGCATCCTGTGAAGCACTTGCCGGCCGGCCTCTGCCCGGTCCCCCCCCTTTTGTGGGAGGCCGGGTCTGGGCAAAACTTGGCCCAAACAAGCTTCTGGACGCCAATCGTGCCTGTTTTATCTGGGCTGCCCGTTTTCTGATCCCCCGCTAAAAGTGACTAACTTTTATTATATAGTGGGTTTAAAATCGGAAACTACCACTAAAAGACTAAAAAGCTCAGGGGATGGCTGGGAGCCGCCGAGTACACCAGACTTGTGCACCCAGTGTGCCCAATTCGTTTTGCGACTTCACGCTTAAAAGGATCTAAAAAGCTAAGGAACCGGATGGCCTTCGGGAGAGCCACCAAGTGATGGCAAAAAACAAGTCCAGGCAGAGACTAGATCACCAAAGCTTTTCTAAAAACCATGGTTTTATGAAGCTAAACATGAATCTAAAATGATTAAACCGCTAAAACTGATGGCTAACCATATGAATGGGAAACCAAGCCCATGGTCAAAACTGGGGGGCCATGGAATGTTGATCAACCCCCATGTCTGAAGAGCTTGAGACAAGTACAGTAGGTACCCGAACTTTTTTGCTGGACGTTTATTTTAGTAGGGGAACCCGCCCAACCAAAAAAAGGTGAGAACGGGGCACCTAGCTGGAAGACCTAGTCAAGGAGACCTTTCTTTTTCCTGCATGTAGGGAAATCCTCCTCACATGGAAACTTCTTGCCACTGGGGAACTGGAAAACTGTGGGTGGATCAGCCATCTTGGGGTTGGTACCTATTTGTTTAATGTGTGGCGTGAAAAAATGGAAAACCCATTTTGGGTGGTCCCCTAAGAAGACGTACCCAGAAAACCAAGAAAACGCGGCTCACGCTCCGTCGCCTTGAAGATTCCAGACTGGACGTCTTTCTTTCTGCCTTGGCTGCATGGCAAGCAGATCGACTTTGTGTCAGCAGCCTTCCATATGCAAACAAAATGGACATGTCTCAAAGGTTGGGGTTCCGGAACAACTGAATTCTAGGGGTAACTTCCATTTCCATTCTTTCCAGGGATGCTTTTTCTAGAAAACCACAAAAAACCTTGGGACCGATGCAAATAACTCGTTGTTTTCTGCTCCCCTGCTAAAAGTTTTTAATTGTTAGTAGTTTAATTCGGAAAACGTATTAGTTGGCAAAATGTCAAAGTCCTGGCATGCAAGCAAAATGCCCAAATAAAGGTCGTGGTTGCGGAACAACTGGGTTCCCCTTCAAACACCCAAATCCAAAAAGGATCGGGAAAAGGATCGGGCCTAAGATCAAGTAGAGTGCTACTCACAAACCACAATTCAGTCATGATACGGGCAACAAGCTAGTCATGATTCCGTTTTGTGGCCCCTCATAGTACTGCGTGTGATTGTTTTCAAGAGCATTTTGGGGTCCAAGTTCCTTCATTTTGACACATTCCCGGAACGCATGGACAAAACGGTGCCCCTTTGGCCATAGCTACTTCCAGCGAATGCACCCATAACCCATGCACAGGGGCAATGGCCAAAGCCTGTTCCCCTGAACCCGCAAACAAGTCCAAACCTTTCTTTTTGCCAATAAAATCACAACCAAACCCAGAACGTTCCTAAGGTCCAGGAACTCAGAAAGCATTCTTTTGGCCAAGCTTAACTTGGCCAACTCACAATATTCCAGTAAAACATTGAGTAGAACTTGGTCATACCGGTTGACCAAGTTAAGCTTGGTCAAGGAAGGTCAGGGGAATCTACTAGGCCCTCCAGAGGATAGAATAAGGGTACCCGATGTTTCTCTGTAGTCTAGTTTAGTAGGGGAACCCTCCCCCAACAAAGAAACGGTCAAAGGGAACCTAGCCCGGGGGACCTGGTCTAAGTCATACCCCCCCGCTAGATGATGAAACCACCAGGTAAACCAGAAAAATCGCCATCTGCTTTTTGTTTTTCTACCAGAAAGCAACCACAAAGGAGACCTCTGCAGGGGACTGCAGGTCATCACCCCCTCCGCTTCGGGGGGACTTTTCGGGACCGCTCCGCGTCTCCCGCATTCGGCCCGCGCTGCCGGGCTCGAGGCGGCCGGCGAGGCTGCGGTCCGGGTCCGAGCGGTCCCCCTGCGGCGCACCCGCGGGGCCTCCGTGGCTGCGAAGAAAACGTCCGGCGCGTGGCGCACGCGTGGCGGGGTTTGGTGGAGGTGGGAGGTGGGAGGGATTTTGGGAGTTGGGAGGTGGGAGAGGGAGTTGGAATTTCCCCCGTACCATGGGTTGATGGTTGGGCTGGTTGGTTTCCTTGGAAACCCCTTGGGTCATGCAAGTCCTTGGTTCATTCCCGGTGATAATTGGCTTTCTTGAGGTCACTTGGCTCATTCCATCTCATGCCTACTCGTAATACGAACTAGCCTTCATAGTTCCGGTTGGCCTATGATTCGATTGATTAATCTTAGCCAATGACTATTCATTAGCTTTCAGATTGGCCGCCAACTCGATAGTAACTTAGTTAGGCTCCCAAGTGTTAGAGCATCCCCTGGGTTAAATAGTCCATATCCATCCATACTACATCTCACTTGGAACACACAAAGTGGGTTGGTAGGTTGGTATATCCCAGTACTTATCGGCTTTCACCGTTTCACCCATCCCAGCTTCCGTGATTGTTAGAGGAAGGCTAATATACAAGCGGTTCTGGAAAACAACAACTTCCTGTGATGCCGAAGTAGACACAAGCACTGACATCATGACACAACCAAGCAAATAACACTTAAACAAAACAGAACAACGCCCCACGTACAAATACGGAATACCAAAGCAACCAGCCAATGTCGACTGACAACATCACCTGAAACGCAAGCAAACAACAGGACAACTGATAAACGACCAAATGCATACAACACAAGAAAATCGCGAAACTAATACGAACCGGAAACCCGGTAAACACAAGCACCCGACAAAGCAATGAAACAATCAATAAGTAACCAAGTACCACTTGGCAACACTCTATTACAAGCACTCAAGTAATCCAGAACTAAACACACAAAACACGCGGCGGACAAAAGCTACCCTAAAGAGCACAACAAAGCAACAACAACCAACACTACTCAAAATGAGCCGCTGCAAAGCACTGCGTTGGAAAAGACACACAACCAACCAAATACCACTAAAATACATCCTAAACAATGTGAACAAATACACATAGCCAAGTACCAACTAACACAATACAAATTAAATCATAGCCTAGACACTATGGACATAATAAGCAACCACTTGATATCATTTAAAAAAAAAAAAAAAAAAACGACAACGGAGACAACAAGCCAAATACAAAAAAACAAAAAAAACAAAACAAACGCTGCATACTATAATCCAAGAGCGTGGAACGACTCATCAAACAACAAAGCACAATTCCTATTGCACCAAGCAGCCAACTACCATCTAGACAAGGCCCTGAAACCCTTGAGCAACTAGCCAAGCTCCACTTAGGTTGAAACTCGCCTTCAAAGTAACCAACTGGCTACATGACACGGTTCACACAACACAATCACAACAACAACAACACAACTACATGACTGACACAAGTTGACACACCGCACACACACACACACAAACGGGACATTGAGGTGCTATATGTCCAGCGTTGAACATTGTTAGAGTGCTAATATGAATTTCCACGAATGATATCATGAAATCACAACGATTGGAGCAGGAAAAGTAATTCATCAGTTTCAACAGGGAGTGGACTGTTTTGTGGTGGGGTTCCACATGTGATGGATCAAATGGGATTGCGACCGAACTGTGCAAGCACTAGCTGGCACTCAGTTGGGAATCATGGACATCATTGATCAACATGGTGTACTAATCAAAAGTCAACGTTGCTTCTTTGTCAAGTAGCAAAAGAAGCTGCTCGTGAAACATGGGTGGTTGCAGAAGTACGCGCATTACTGAACGAAACAAGGAATGCACAATCACGACTGCGAATCACAAAGTGATCCCGATAGTCAGCAAGCAATCAGGTGCCTCCAGACAGTGAAAGGTGTTGCTAGAGCCCTAAAACAGGTGCCTCAGAGTCCCCTTCTTGCGGGAGTCTCAAAGGTTGGGCCCAAATGGCGATGTTCCTCTGCCCTTGAAAACCACCCTGGTATGATCTAACAAACACAAGTTCACGCTGCCGGCTCAGCCTAAAGGATTCTCCCAGGACCGAGTTGGGTGGGACAAAACCACATAACCCGTTAGTTTATCCCAGCCCATTGAGGCGCATTGAACTGGCTCTCAGAACTGATCCCCCGCAAGTTCTTCTACCAGTCAGCTTCCCACTCACACTTTGGGGCCCGGTGGTGTGGTGGTTCTATGATTCCTGGATTCCTGGCAGTCTTGGATTTGCAACCAAAAAGACCAAGAAGCGGCGCGACAGTCGGCGCGGTTTGCCCCGAACCGGTGGTAGTGTTTGCCGTAAAGTAAAAAAACAACGCAAACGGTACCTGACAGCGACGCAAGCCGAATCGAAGCGCCTGAAAAGAAGTCGATGAGTTGCCTGACCTCTGGTGAAGGCTCTTTGCCTCAGCAAAAGAGCCTAGCAGGGTCTCATAATGGACCACTGGTTCGACCAGGAAACCAACCAATTTAGGCAGAAACACCCATACATACCCATACGAATCGGCCAGAGATTTAGCGTCACCCACCCAAAAACGGTTGTCTCCAATTGGGATTTGGCACCCGAACAAAAGGTGAGTTCGCTTACTTGTGTCGAAGCTGCCAATCTCGGGGAGAAGTCATGGCTTTATGAACCTGAGTCAAGGGATACCCAAAACCAAGATGACTGACTCCAGTTGTTCTTTTCATCAAGGTTGCAATGATTCCGACTCGCCCGCGCAGATTTGGATCATTCGGAGAAAACAAACACACGCCCTGGGAAAACTCAGCAAGCCGCACCAAGTATGCTTGCTTAATTTGGGGTCATGTGCTTGTGGCACAAAAATCGAAATGGGCCCAAAATGGCACCCTGCTGCATGGAACAGTAGACAACCACCTGCCGTCCCGGGGCTCTTAATTTCTGAGCCACACCCATGTAGTTTGGTGCACTTCAGGGACGGGCGAGGGAACCAAACCTTTCAAATTGTGTTAAAAGCCCGGAACCATTCTGTGCACATTCATTTTTTTACTTCCCAAGTTGGGCCACAAAAAGTCCAAGCTTTTTTTGTTTACCACCGGTCTTCCCAAAAGGCGGGTACAAATTGGCACTGACACAGGGCCCTCGCAACTTTCGAAACCTCCGTTCCCAGCGGAACCAAAGATCACTGGAATGGGTCCAGCGAGTCTTGGCCCATTCCCGCGGGGAAGACTCAGGTGTTTGACACTTGACACCTCCCGAGTCAGACACCTCTCCGGGATTCTCCGGGCCTCCGGAGATGCAACCGCTCACATGGGTCATGCGAGTTGGTCTTAGGGACCCTTTGGTTGGGAGAAACTGCAGCGGTCCCCTAAACCTGCGCCGTGGAACTGCCGAAAGGTCGTGCCCTCGAGAAGGTTGCAAGATGCTCAGGAGCGCCATGGTCAAAACTTCACACTGGCCATCAGTTCAATCCCTGAATACATGGTTAAACCTACATTCCCTATTGAGGTGGTGCATATTTGTATTTAGAGGGCTTGCTTGAAACGAAGTTGATGCTTAATTATGGGAGAACTTTCTTGGATTTGCATGGGATTTGTTTCCACCAGCCATTGAGGGCGTCCCCAATTCAATTGACTGCCATTTGTCTTGGTTGCTGTGGATGCCTTTGCCAAGAGTTGGGTGCGATTCGGAAAGTCCAAAGATCAGTTGCCAAATAGCCTTAAAGTGAGGATACCCATTCTTTTGGTTGGTAGGGAATCCTCTAAGCAGAGGGGGGAGAGAAATGTAAGAAACCCTTTCAACCAGCGGTTTCCTTCGGGTTTCCTACATGCTTGGGACAGCAACTTGGCGTGCTTATCTCCTTGCACCCTCCAAAATGAGTGGGTTCCCTTTGGTTGCCTCCTTTTTTGGTGTCCTTTTGGCTTCCCAAAAAAGGTACCCTGACTGGACAAAAAATATTCAACACACACACACACACAAATGTGGTGTCTACATGTCACCCATCTCTACGCAGGGCCCTTGCGTGGATGGCCCATGATATCACACCCCATGATCTTTGGCATGCCTTCAAGCTGCACCATACCGTGCACACTTTAGAAACAAATCTGCGCGATGTTCAAATGTTCGCGCAAGAAGCAGAGTCACAAATCAAAGGTCCGAACAACAACAACGGCATGCAACCATGTGCGATGCCACCGATTTATCTAGTTTCCTTCCTCATGCCTGCCGTCAACCCCAACTTTGTGTCACGCTGACACAGTCGCTACATCCTACGGTACACTCTTGCCTGGGAATGTGCCAAACTGGGACCCTACGCTCTTGGCTTCCTTGACAGGGTCCCTGTCAGCCAAACGCGGCCAATCCTGCGCCCAAGATTGCTGGCGAGTGGCTCATCGAGGAGGAAACGGTGGTGGGATTGATGTGGAAGAAAGCGACGAAACCTGAGACTTGTTTCACCCAGGCCATGGCTGGTGGCAATGGCTTGTCACAGAACCACAGAACCCGCGGCTCTGGTTCTTTCATTTCCCTGGATAACCATCCCTGCGGATGGTTCGAAATCCATTTCGCACTCCCCGTTCAGAGACCCCAGAATGAGGCGATTCCCCAACGAAAGTACCAACCAACAGTGGTTTGAACCATGGTTTCAAAGTGGTGCAGGATTTCGTCCATCCACAGCAGCAATACCAAGAAAGCAGGCACGATACAAAATGCGCAGCCTTCAACCGATGGTCCATATTGACGTTTTTCGGTGAGCCTCAAAATGTAATAAAGCATATGCAAAAACCATCCCCAAATACTAGGTCCGGTAAAAGAAGTACTACAATCTAAAAGATGGTCTCAAGGGAAACACCTCCCCCCAAAAAAACGAAGCAGAAAGAGAACCCCTCAAAATGGACACCCTCAAGACTAATTTTCAGAACCCCTCAAAATTTTCATGTTGAGGGAACCGGTTCGATACAACTCAGTACCAGCGTTTGCTCCTTTCCTTTTCGGCGAGCTTCTTGCACCAGGATCTTCTTGTCTCCAGGGTACGATGCCCGTGTCGTAGGGCAGCATAAGATTCATGCAAATCACCTGAGCGATCAACGCAGTGCAAAACCGTCCGCCCAAAACCTGTGCCGCTTTTACAGCCAAGAGCGGCTGTACTGGGACACATGGGAATCTCGTAGACTGCATTGACCAACAAGAGTCATCCCACTAAACAGGTCATCCATGATACAAGTCCAGTTGAACTTAGGGATTGAGTAAATTGATCTACAAAAGAACATGTCATAATGGCGGCTACGTACCTGTGGCAGGGATCTGGGCGTCATGTGTTGCATCTGGAGTCTGAACACTGGGTAGTTAAGATCCTGAACCACATGGTTAAGTCCCCGGAGGGTCAAGCAGGTTGCAAGATTGAATATGCGGTGTGTCAGGACTGCGTGGGGGCTCCTGACTCTGGACAACTTAAGGCCAAAGGGATGCCCAGTGTACATATGGGTATGGGCAAAATTAAACCATCAGGGGACCACCAGCGTTCCATTTGGGGTACCTATTTTTGACCCACAGCCACATAGTTCATGTGGCTCCCTCAGGGGTGGAGGATTGGGTACAACACATCACTTGCGCCTTAGTCGTTGTGGGCCCCTCGGGCACTGCCCTCCAGGATTCATACTTCATTCTGGTCCCAATGTGGTGTACCACGAAGTGTGAAACAGCACCCAAGTTGAAGAGGATGTGTTAAAGAAGGTCTGGGCTGAACACGGAACATATCCAACCTCCTTTGGCCTTGTTTTGGGAAACTGTGAAACATATGGTCATGGGTCAAAATTCCGTACCCCCAGTGAACATCCCAATCCCAACTAAAATCCGCCGACCCTCTGCCTCCCGTCCCGTGATTGGAATCAATGATGGTCCCTGGGGACACGCCCGAACCCACAAAAAGTGGATTCCCAGGACCGGTCCCGGGATCGGTCCCGGGACCGGTCCTGGGACCAGTCCTGGGACCAGTCCTGGGACCGGTCCTGGGACTTGTCCTGGGACCCTGGTTCTGCTGTTTCAGATGGCTATGATTTTTTTTAGGGGTCTGTAACGCGCGACGCGCCACGAATCTTGTTACGGACGTCTGTAACGGAGGTCCTTGTTACGCAGGTCTGTAACGGAGCAGACATTTCCTGACAAGCAGTATCAGTAGCACAATGTATCGCAGCACAACGAGGTATGTAATGGCTATGTATACACGAGGTCTGTAACGAGGCAAAGCAAAGTGCAGGACGCAAAGCCAAGCTGCGGCAAAAAGCGGGGTCGCTGGGCCGGGTTGGGGGTTGGGTCTGTAACGAGGTCTGTAGCGAGGCAAAGCGAAGCGCAGTACGCAAAGCGCGCCTCCGCAGCACCAGCTTGCTTGCAGCTATTCAACGCAAGCCAAGCTGCGGCAAAAAGCGGGGTTGCTGGCCTGGGCTGGGGTTGGGTCTGTAACGAGGTATGTAACGGCTATGTAACGAGGTCTGTAACGAGGCGCAGCGCAGCTCTATTCAACGCAAGCCAAGCTGCGGCAAAAAGCGGGGTCGCTGGCTTGGGCTGGGGTTGGGTCTGTAACGAGGTATGTAACGGCTATGTAACGAGGTCTGTAACGAGGCGAAGCAAAGCACTTGATTGCAGCGATTCAACGCAAGCCAAGCTGCGGCAAAAGAGGGCAGTCACGTCACTGGCCCGGTTTGTTCATCTGAGGTGTGTAACGAGGGCGTGTATAGCGAGGGCGTGTATAGCGAGGGTGTGTAACGAGGGTGTGTAACGAGGGTGTGTAACGAGGGGTGTGTAACGAGCCAGCTGGTTTTGTTACAGAGGTCTGTAACGAGGTCTGTAACGAATGTCCGCCGCGGCTCTGTTACAGACCCCTCAAAAAAATTCACTGCCAGATTAGTAGTCAGCCAAAACCAGTCCTGGGACCGGCCGGTCCCGGGTCCAGGACCGGTCCTGGGACCAGTCGGGGTCCAGGACCGGTCCTGGGACCAGTTCTGAGTCCCAGGACCGGGCCTGGGACTGGTTTGAGGACCAGTCCTGGGACCAGTCCTGGGACCGGTCCTGTGGTCCTAGGACCGGTCCCAGTTTGGTTGTGGAACTGGTCCTGGGACTGGTCCTGGACGGGTTCCAGGACCAGTCCTGGGACCGGTCTGGGAAGCAACCGCTCCAGACACGTTTCCGGACTGGCACCCAGGACACTGGACAGGGTCCCAGGTCGTCACTCCCTGCGACCAAACCGGCCCGTGCGGTTATTGACGTCCTTGTGGTAGTAGAGGATCCCTGGATCTATTCTGCAAGAGAGTCCAATACGTCAAGTCAAACCGCGCCAGACTGGGACCAGCCTGGACAGGGTCCCAAGTCCCGGTCCCTGCCGGCGACCGGTCCAGGGCAACTTCGGGAGGGCCAGTTTCAGGCGACCCCGGGAGAGGCGACTGGGCCAACTCGAAGTGACTTGGGCGCAAGCCGGCCCAAGCGGTAATTAACGGACTAGCTGCCCTATTTCTGACTTTTCCGTTAATCCTTGTTTGTGGTCAACTTCGGGAGGGCCAGTTTCAGGGCGACCCCGGGAGAGGCGACTGCTCCCGGGCCAACTCGAAGTGACTTGGGCGCAAGCCGGCCCAAGCGGTAATTAACGGACTAGCTGCCCTATTTCTGACTTTTCCGTTAATCCTTGTTTGTGGTCGTAGAGGATCTTATAAGTGGTCCCTGGGTTTGCGGACGTGTTTCAGGACCGGTCCTTGTGACTTTTCCCTTAATGCGCCGAGGGTCGGCGGCAGCAGGCGGGAGCCTGGTTAATAGACTAAAGTGGGTTGTGCACCTAATTACCCCAAAATAATGGGTTCCCATTGGTTTTGACAACCACAGCAATATCCAGACTCTTTTGGCTGTCATTTTGACCGCTTCAACAGGCGCTGCCCCGTTTACCCGGGCAGATTTGCCGAAGGCGCCCTTGGCAGCTTGCAGGCGGTGGACCAGCGCGCAGAGGAAGACGAGGCCGCCGGGCAGTGCGCTGCGAAGGTTTCCCTCGCGATGGTCTGGGGTGTCCTTTCCTTCTCCCGGACATTCCCTGGGAACCCGCAATCTAGACCCCCGACTAGGTGCCCTTTGACCGTTTCTTTTTTGGGTCAGGGTTCCCCTACTGAAATAGACCACGGAAAAAGGGCTACCCTTATTCTGACCTCTCTACTGGAGGACCTAGTTGGCAAGATCTGCCAAAAACTCATAGATGGAAGCTTCAAAGGTCGCCATACGATTGCTGTGGACAACCCAACTAGGTCCTCTAGTACGGGAAGCCTCCCCAAACAAGTTGGAAAAAGGGCACTACTGGGGGACCTAGGCAAGATCTGCCAAAACTCATAGATGGAAGCCCCAAAGGTCGCCATAGGATGGCTGGGGACAATCACTTTTTGCTTCCAGTACTGTGACAACCCTTCCTGTGACAATTCCCCAGCATCCTATTTTCAACAAAGGGCGACAGGATGGGAAATGTGTGACTTCTGTCGCGGATTTCCACCCAGAACCACTATTAAGGGGCGGAAAAATGCGTACCCCTGAAATGTTCAATTGGTGGCTGTAGCGGCTATAGAGGCTTTTTGTAGTGGCTGCATATCCCATGGCAACTCTGGACACAAAGAGGTAGCGGAAACCATCTCTGCCACTCTTCCAATCCCCACAGGAAAAGTGTGGCCCAAGCAACAAGGGGAACCGAATGTATGAAGGGTTCCTCGAGCACGTCCAAAGCACGCCTTTTGGGTGGCAAGGGTCTTCTGGAACGCTCAAAGATCTAGGACCAGCCGAGATCCGCCTAAAAGGAGGAAACCAAAGGTGTTGCCCGCAGGAAAGCTTCGGAAGACATCTTCTGAGTGCTTCTAATCAAAGGGTTCGATCTGATCGAACCTGCCTGGTAGGGACCCAATCGCTCCATTCTGCCAACAAGTGATTTGGGATTCCACTTTTGTGATACCACTGGACACCCTTTTGTGACTCCTAGGAAGCTCCCTGGCAAGATCCGATTCTCCGGGATGGAATCCGCGCGGGCCACTGAAAGGGAAGCCCAGCGACTGGGTGCATTTACCACAACGGAGGGCTCTGCTGTTCCCTCCCGACTCAAGGCACAACGAGAAAGGAAAGCCGGCCATCTGAAAAGGCATGCAGCAAAAACGCGCTTGTGAGACTATTGAATGCCGCATTCAAAGAACAAAACCATTTGATCTTAACCGCCTCAACGGATGGCCGCAACTTTCCTCTGCCAAAGGTCCAAATGCCTGCGAACCAAGAAGGACCCGATTCAAACGAACCTCCTTAAAAGCTACTACTCTGATGGTTTGTGCCAAATAGGTTCGCAACAACTCAAAAAAGAATCACCGGGGACCCAAGTAGGGGGAATTGTGTGCTACATAGCACCGATTAGCGTACTTCTTGAGTCGATTGGTGAAAATCGCCCAAACTTTTGCATCACCACTTCTAGCGGCCTTCCAGAAAAAAATGTCTGTACCCAATACGAAGGGTACCCATACACAAAATGTTCAGACGTGTTCACTCCCAGAAGAATGGTATTCAATACAGAAGCATGTTTCACACGAAACAACAAATAGGGTATCCCTACAACTCTTCAACCACAACCACCACCACCACCGCCACCGCCACGCCACCGCCACCGCCACCGCCACGCCACCGCCACGCCACCGCCACCGCCACCCCCACCAACAACCCCCACCACCACCAATGCCAATCCAACACTAAACAATTGCAAGCAGTGCTCAGTCAGAGAGGGCAAATTTGACCCCGGAATTTTACTGGGTCCCCTCAAATTGTTGGGGGGAGGGGGGCTTTCTACATGAGTACCTAGACCCTCTGAGTTCAATTAGGTACATGGAAGGAGCTGCAAAATAGCTTTCCTTTCTGGTTTCCTTTGAGACCAATCTTACAAGGCTACCCTGCAAAAACACACACACACACCCATGTTACACCCAATCGCAACCTAGGTCCTCCAGTAGAGAGCTAGGTCCTCCAGTAGAGAGCCTAGAATAAGGGTACCCTTTTTTCTGTAGTCTATTTTAGTAGGGGAACCCTCCCCCCAAAAAGTTGGTAAAAGGGCACTACTGGGCGACCTAGCAACCCATAACTCCCACCACCCCCGCCACCTGACCGCAATCCCCCCGCCACTCCCAACCAACCAACCCGAAGCCGCTCCGAGGCGCTGCGAAGGCAAGTCCTCCACCGGAACCAGGCGCCCCACGATGTCTTGCACCTGGCCGGAAGCCACTGGGGCCACACACCACACACACCACACACACACACACACCACGCACACCACGCACACCACTTTAAGCCCTAAAAAAAAGGTTCACCTTTAGGGGCCTTGACCAAAAGGAAAACCACCAGTTTGGGGTCCTCCTATTTTGACGCATGGGCTATCTAGCACCCGGAAAGTCAAGATAAGTACCATTGGAGTTCAAAAGGATGCGTTTCCCCGAGAGGACGCAGGACAATTGGGAAAATTGGGTTGTGCCCCCATGTCCGCCTCAAACCAAATGCCCAGACAGCCCACCTGCTGGAACCTAAACCATGTTGGAGTGGCACCTTCAAATGAAGCAGAATCGCTGTGGTTATCCGGGTCAAAATATGTTGCAAACGGGTACCGCTGAAATGCTCTGCCCAAAGAATGAAAGGGCCATAGTTCACCCGATGCTGGGGAGGTGAATCAATGTAAGCCAGAAGCTGTCCCACTGCATCGCGGAAGGTGGATGCCAAATGCCAAACTTGCTTGTTGGGGGTCTCCAACAAAATGCCCGGGGTCTGTGATTCACAAAGCCTTACAGCCCCCTTCAAGAACCTTGGGCTTCCGGCTTACGCCTCGGTACGCTTCTACAAGGGCTCCGGGGCCAGGGCGTTGTCACTTTGGATGATCGGGAATGAATCGCTTCATACTCAGCAGGTTCTCCTGAGTGGACTGGCCAAAACAAACAAGCTTAAAGTCCAGGAACTCAGGGAGTGAGGATTAGCATGGAATCCCAAGCGCTCCCTTTTTCGGTTTCATGTTTATTTGCGCAGGAATCAGCTGGTACAGAGCACAACAAACGGGAGGCTCGTTTTACATGCCGGGACCATGCCACCAGTGGCAAACAATGGCCATAGGAGAAAGGAACCCGTTTTTGATGGATTGAATCTGTGAAACATGCATGGTTTATTGGTTGGTTGCCTGAACAATATCATGTTTTACTACGGGCTCAGCTTGAAACAAGTTCAACTGTCAAACACCTGAGCGGTTGCTGGCTTGAAACGGCAAACCGTTGCCGAACGCTTCAACAAATCAGCACCCGGTGCTTGCCCTGCCACCCGCTGCAGCCGGACGAAAGGAGGACTGGTTTGAAAGACCATGCTTCTCTTAAAGACACTTGGCGTGTTCAATGTGGTGGGATGATATTGTCTCGGGGTTTCAGCTTGACTTCTTTGTTTGAGGAAGCCAACAGTTTCCGCGTTGTCCAGCTGTACCGGTTGTGAACTTGCTTAATAGGGGGGGGTCTGACAAAAATGCGTTGAAGATCTATCCACTCGTTGGTTTCTTTGGAGAACATGAACAAACAAGGAGCGAACCCACAAACACCCACACGCCTTCACGGTGGACCGGATGGCATCGCAGGAGACACAGCTGTACATACCTGCGAGGCAAATCCTTGAAACTGGGCCCATCTCAAACACATGCTTCAAATGAGTCATAATCAAAACCTAGTATTAAAATGGTCTACCCAGAACCATGTAAAGAATAAGAAGGCGGCCGCAGCTATTTATGGTTGAGATTGTCCCTTACTAGCCTTCATCTACCCGGGTTTTGATTGTGGCTCAAATGGTACAGTGAAAGGGGAATCCACTGTACCATTTGAGCCCCCCCGCCACCCAACAAAAATACTTCAATGAAAACGTACAAAGACAGGGCTACCTCACCCTGATGTTCAAACAGAAGCTTAAACTCCTGGATGACAAGTGAGGAAAGCTACATGTTGTGCATCAGTGAGTCTCAGGATAGAAAATCTGGCCCAAAAAAAAACATGGCGCGCACAAAGAATCTCATAACGCAGCTTTGAATCAGCTCACCCGAGCTGGCTCAAGTTAAGGCAGCAACTCGAGCATGGGCTTTCACAAAGATGCTTCCATGGCGGGGCACAGCCAAACCGGTGACCAAACAAACCATTTCCCGGATCGGACTATGCAACTCTGCATCGGGGGGAACCAGAGCAATTTGGCTGCGCGTGCAAACAAAACATGATCCCAAGTTTGTGGTTTTGCGGTGGTTTCCCCTTCAGGACCACCAAGCTCCGTCACAAAACCCACCCCGGATATGACTCCCTTGCGCAACCTTTGTTTCGGCCAGCTGCACCTCTGGGTGCTTACTTGGGGTCTCTGGCTGCTCCAAACTTCCAACAACTGAAAACCAAAACACGGCAGTTTTCAGATGCCAAGCAAAGAGGGAGATCAGCCATCTCCGAAAATTGTCCCTCTACCCCCCCCCCCCCACCAATTAACATGGAACCTGACGTTTGGCGGGGGGTCCTGGAAGACAATTTTCCTTTTACTGGGGACTGAACGTCAGGTGCCCTGTAAATTGTTGCTGGGCTGCCCTCAGATCTCCCGCTAAAAGTGACTAACTCTTAGTGGCTTGAATGGAAACTACCACTAAACACTAAAAGGCTAAAAAGCTAAGGAACCGGATGGCTGGGAGCCACCAAGGGCGCGAGGGGCATCCGATGCGATCGGTTCAACTACACTGCCACTCCGAAGGCCAAGTTGCTCCCTTGCGACTGAGCCTTGTTCCTGCACACAAGGCGAGTCACGAAACCCACCGCACAGGGCAGGGATCCTTACATTATACACCTGAACATTGCCTTGTAAATGGTAGTTTCCCTTTATTTTGGTGGAACAAAACATGTTTCAAATGGGCAAAATGTATCTTTTAAGGAGCCCTACAGGGGGAGGATCGAAACGTGGCTGTGGGTCAAAACCCTGTACCCCTAGTGAACAAAATAGGTGGTACATGAGTGTTCATCCGGCGGCATAGGTTCTGACCCATGGCCACGTCTGTGAGGACGGTTGCACGAGTCGCCAAATATTCACAGATTGATCTTGTGACCGATCGGCAGGTGTGTCTCATGGTATGTCGGACTAGCACCATTGGGATAGGAATCAAACTTGCATATGCATGTGGGCGTGTCTCAAAATAGAGGACCTCAAAGATAAATAGTTTGTTTGTGGTTGCCATTCAAATGCCAAGCAAAAGATGGTACACCATTTTCAGACAGCCCCATGTACACAGAGAGAACCACACACACACAACTATGCAACAACAAGCGTGACGCCCAAACACACACACACACACACACACACACACACACACACACACACACACACACACACACACACACACACACACACACACACACACACACACACACACACACACACACACACACACACACACACACACACACACACACACACACACACACACACACACACACACACACACACACACACACACACACACACACACACACACGCACACACGCACACACACACGCACACACGCACACACGCACACACGCACACACGCACACACGCACACACGCACACACGCACACACACACACGCACACACGCACACACGCACACACGCACACACGCACACACGCACACACACACACACACACACACACACACACACACACACACACACACACACACACACACACACACACACACACACACACACACACACACACACACACACACACACACACACACACACACACACACATGCTTACCTTCACAGTGACACAACTACACAATGGCCCCAACAAACAATGTGCGTGTGCACCTAAGACAAACATCCCACCATACACCATCGTAGACAATCATGGGCCGACACGTGACACGTGGCAAACAGTTCAGCATGCACACACACATGCGCAAAAAGAAACAAACTACAACATACAAACACCGACACATACATGCATCCAGGCACAGATATGCATCCAGACACAGGCAGGCAGCCAGACACAGACACACACACACACACAACACAAAAAGCACATCACAGTCCGAGATTCCGTGCACACAGCAGAGAGAGAGAGAGAGAGAGAGCGAGATGGGGGGAGAGACACATGTAATACAGGCGAACGACGCGCACAGCCATCACGCACATTCACAGCACATTGTTGTCTAGTTCCATTTGCATAGCATACCGCATACCCGGTTGATAGAAAAAAGCATCCAAGAGAAGGGTGAGTCTCCCAGGAGTGAAGCAAGCCGCACGATGCAACATGCAGCATGCCGCAACATTCGAAGTCCTAGAATCACAGACAATAAGGATACCTGAAAGGCGTGAACCGATCCAATATGAGTTTCCCATGATGTTTTAAACTCGATACAACAAGCCGTGAGTGCGAAACCCGGAATAGTCATGCTGGAAGACCCCTCAATACTACAAGCAAGGGGATCATCATTTATCTGGCCTCTGGCACACTTGCAGGGAACCCACTGTCAGCACGCGCCGAGCCCAGAAAAGTGTTGAGAGACAGCATGCGTGATTATGGGCACCCTGTGTGTGATCCAACCATTCATAGTCCTGTTGGCAGATTCCTTCAAAGACGCCAGAAGGAAGCACGGGAAAAGCGATGAAACACTTATTCAACCAGAGTCAGATCAGCAACCTCCAGGGGGGGGGGACCTGCAAAATGCAGGATTCCTTTTTGACGTCCCCCCCCCACCCTTTTCACTGGCGCGGAAGACCCCCCTAGAACAAACCCCAAACAAAATGTGGGTAATGAGAAATGGAATCACCCCGAACTGAACCATCCTCTTCTTTCCTGGGGGGTCCATTGCTTCACTCCCAAAACCCCTGGCTCCCTGACCACCAAAGGGCTGTGGAAAGGAAAACACATGTCCCCAAAATCCAGCGAGATTTTTGGTTCTATGAGCATGATTTACTGTACTGCAATCCCCATGACTTGCTGGTGCTCAGCGGGGAATGTAGGAATGAAACCCAGGAGTTGGTCCCCATAAAGGAAACCACAAATGTTGGATGGTTTAATTCGGGGTCAGAAACCTTTTCTCATTCCCCGCATCTCTCGCACCAGCAAGAAAAGGGCTCCGCTCCCTTAGCATCCCGTGAGACTTTTAGCTCTGTGAACATGATTAAAATTTAGATAGCAAGAACTCCCCGAAACGGGGGAGGCGGAGTCTGAAAATGGAGAACTCCCCCTTTTCACCTTGAAAAAAACACCAAAAGGACACAAAACACACCATCTTTCCCACTTCTTTTGAGAAACACCACCAAAAGCAAGGGGTCTCCGGGGCATCGGGAAAGCCGTGCAAACTCCCCAGCCCGGTCTGTCCTGAATTTCTTGTAGTTGGGGCCTTGTCGAACCATGAGACCCTTCCCATCGCCACGAGCCCAGTAGGGCCCTTCGCCTGTCCTTAATTTCCATGAGCAAGCAAGGGCAACTGGACCCTCGTCTCTTTTTGGCCTATTGCCCCCCCCTTAATTAGTATGAGGTTTCACATTGTTGATGGTACCTCATGTTTTTAACAACTACCTATTGCCCGCCTCAATTAGTATGGGGTTTCACATTGTTGATGGCAGGGTTCAGGTACCCTTTTGGTTGGCTTCAACGGAAAACGTTCCCCCGCCTTAATAATTATGCTAGGGTTCACATTGTTGGTAGGGTCCAGGCACCCTTTTGGTTTGGCTTCAAACTTGTTCAAAGAGGAAAACAGTGCACCACTACATAGCCATGGCTCAAAACCCAGTACCTCCAGTGTGCCATCGGACGAACAGAGTTGTCTCTGGACAAAATCCACTTCGCAGCAGATGGTAGGTGGTACATCCAGTTCTTCGTCCATCACAACCGTCTGTCCCTCCACAGTATGTTTCCCCGGCAAACATCACCCCGAAAGGAGACTGGTTTCAAATCCGAATCTTTGAATAGCCTCAGCTTGAAGCAAACTCATTTTGCCAACACAAACACCATGCGATTGTATGACTTTCATCTGCCCAACAAAAGTGTCCTATGCAGCGGAGGTGTGCCAATACTCTGAACTATGTTCGCTGTTGGATGAGCTACTTATTTCCACTTCCTGTTCTCAACTATAGTGCTGATTTGACTGCTCAAATCAAGTGCTCGACGTGAGTCGTTTTCTGAGAATGAAGGTCCCCGTTCCGTGCATGTCACAAGTTGACTGAGCTCACCAATCTCCATAGTTGCGCAGTGACCCTGGCAGAAAAAACGAAACCCAAGTATAGAAAGGGGGGGTGTTTAGAGAGGGAACCTACCATCCTACATTTGACTTGAGGGTTGCATGCACAAAGCATCTGAGGAACTAGGCAACTGGGCAATGCGGTAAGCCCGTGACTTTCCCAAACAGCGGGCACCTGGGTTCTTGCAAAGGATCCCGTACATGTTTGATCGGATGGCTTCCCTCTGAAAAGCCGAAATGGACCCGCCAATGGCACCAGGACTTCAATATGTGTTTGTTCAACAAAGGGGCACTTTAGTTCTCTCTTGTGGCCATCTAAAAAGCACCAGTTGAACTCCATTTTTCGGACACTTCCATATTTCTAGGGCACTAGCAGCTTCGGCTAGTTCTTTTACGAGCATCGTCGCTAGAGCAAGCTGCATAGCATTTTAAAGCTACGAATCCTAAGGCCACCCGAACCGGAGGACGGGTCCTTGGCCAAAAAGGCCACGTGTTTTTTCGAACCCTCTAGGGAACGAGTGCCCAAAACTTAACACGTGTAGCAACATGTGTCAAGGATTCTATACGCCTACTATAACTAAATGAAGCCAGGTAGGACCATCTTGCGGTTTGGGGCACTGCAGATGTGATACAAAGATTGCCCACAATTCACATCGTGAATTTGCCCCATGCCCTATGTGATCTACATGGGAGAATCCAGGGCCGCGTGTAGCGCCGATTCCTGAACCCCTATAAGCCGCTAAGTTACAAAAGGGGATCGTGCAGCGTCCGTTTCTGAACAATGAACCCCACAAGACTATCAGGACGATAAGCTATAACAGGGTGCATGCCTGTTTCTGCATGTGGACGCCCCTTCAAAACACAAAAGTTTCATCAATGACAGTCAGAAAAACACCCGCCATGTTTCACGACTCGGTCAAAATCAAACCACCAGAATACGGACCGCAGGTTTTAGTCCATGTTACCACTTACAGGGTTCAATTTCGGGTACCTATTGACCCACAGCCATCTCTTCCACGCGGCGGCGGCAGTTCATCCTTGGTCCACTGGGCCATGGTCCGCCCTAGCCACTGGCTGGCAGAGTTCACCTCCTCAGACGCGTTGAGCGTGACCTTGCGAGCAGGGGCTCTGCTTTGAAACGAAGCCCTATTGTCTGGCTGTAGGTCAAAAATAAGTACCCCAAATGTATTCCCAGAATGAAATACAAAAACCCTTAGACCCATTGTCTGGCGGTGGGTCAAAATAAGTACCCCCAATGGGTTGCCCTGAATTGTTAGGTCAAGAAGGATTGACTTGCAAGATAGTCCATCCTAACCTTCGGAGCAATGAATGGAGGGCTGTATTTGATTTGCGGCACCCTTCCCCAGAATTCCCAGATGAAAGACAACCACCCCTCCAATCCCAACGGATCTTTGATCTAAACTGTTGCGAATTCATTGTGAGGATGGACACATGCCCTTCAATTGGGCCTATGTTGAGGGACAAAAAAAGCACAAGCACACTCACCAACGGGTATTCTTCCATGCTTGCAACCAAACCCTAGGAGCCCCATGAACCCTAAATATGAGGGCCTACCCCTAAAGGCCTCAAATGAGGTCTTGGGCGAGGGAAAGGACACCAAAGCAACTATCTCCTTGCAACTCGATTTCCATCAAGAAAATTAAACAACAAATATGCAACCAAAGGACACTCAAAGATGGGCCATAGCACGCACGAACACCAAAACATAGAGGGACACAGGTCGACACATCTTCCGACCAGCGGCTGGTGGCGGATCCCCTTCTTGCCGGCTGCCTGGCCAAAAAAAAACGCGCTTCCAGGCGAGGGCAAACCACATCTAGGTCCTCCCAGTACAGAATAAGGGCACCTTTTTCCTGTAGTCTATTTTAATACGGGAACCCTGCCCCCAAAAAAGGGTAAAAGGGTATACTGGGGGACCTAGACATGTCAACACTCGGAAGCAAAGAAGACCAAAGGCACCCTCAATGGCTGTGGGTCAACACCCTGTACCCCTGGTGAACATCAAAATAGGTGGCAAATGGATGCTCATCCACCCCAAAATGGAGCCATAGGTTATACCTGGCCACATCTTGCAGATCAACATGGAACATAGATGGTCATCTGAGGAACTGATTGCGAGGAGCTTTCCGGGGCGGAAAAGAAGGGAGCCAGGCAACCAATCTCCAATGTTCCGTTGTTTTGACAGCCCTTATCACCGCGAATGCACGGGATAGTTGCAATCCCTGTGTGGGTCTGTGGTTTTGTTGAGGGTAGATAGGGTACCCATTGTTGGGTTGTTTTAAACTAGGTCCTCCAGCAGAGAGGATAGAATAAGGGTACCACTTTTGTTCGGACGTCTACTTAGGGGAACCCTCCCCAAAAAAAAGGAACGGTAAAAGGGCACTGGGGGACCTAGACTAACTGCATGTGATGGCTTTCCCCACATCGGCTCTCCTCGAACATGTGATTCTTTGTTGGGAACACATCCAAAAGTATTCTTCGTGTGTGATTCATTGTGTGATTCATTGTGTGATTCTGATTCTCAGATGTGATTCATGGTGTGATTCTTCGTTGTTCCGCCCAAGGAAAACCTCAGCCGCCCTCCGCCGCGCCTGAGAGGCTGGAGATGGCGCTGATGGCCCGCCGAGCCCTCCGGTGCAGCTCGAAGGAGGCGTAGCTCGCAGCTAAGGTGCCCTGCGCGCAACGGGAACTGGAGAGCTTCTTGGCTTAAACCCAAAAAAAAAAACGGCGGGTGGTGTGTTTGTTTGTTTTGATTTTTTTTTGGGGGGGGGCTGGGCGGGAGGGAGGGGAGGGGGAGGGAGCCCAAAAAAAAAGCCCTAAATAAGGGCTTACTAAGGGTTGTTTGGGGCTCCCTCTGTTGGGTTCGGTTTTAATAAACTGGTTGGGTTTTAGCAAACCGGTTGGGTTGGGTTTTAAGAAACCGTTGGGTTGGGTTTTAATAACAACCCAACCCAATGGTTTGTATAAAAGACTGATACATTATAAAAAAAAAAAAAAAAAAAAAAAAAAAAAAAAAAAAATCGTTGGAATTGTTGTGTTCTGTCTTTGTTTGATTCAAAACAAACAACAACCCGATGGTTTCTATAAAAACAACTGAACAACATGGACTTGCGGGACAAATGGCGGGATTCCAAGCCACGGTGCCATCATTCAGGGCAGTCGGCATTTTAAAAGGTGTACAGCGCTCTCCGAGGACTCTGGATAGAATTTTGGGATAACCAAATGGCCATTTGTCAAAAGCCCGGTTATCCGCCAGTGAACATCCCCACTATAGACTAAAATGGGTGGTGCACCTAGCCCAAAATGGTACCATTGGTTTTGACCCACAGGCAAATGAAACAAACCAATGGTGTACTGTTGTACCTTTGTGGGTTTGGTGGTTCAGGAGGGGTTTCCCATCTACCCTCTACAAGAGCCAGGGGCTGGGCTTCCCAACCCACGAAAGAACCCCACCGCAGTGTGCCCTTCTGGGCTTTTTTAATGAAAGAGTCTAAGAGCTGTCCCGACCCCGCCCCCCCCAGACCCCTCAGACCCCCCCGCCCCACCAAACTTCGAGGAAGGAGTCTTTCTGGGTTCCGGCCAATCGCCCAACCCTAGCGCGTCCCAAAAAGAAACATGAACCCATATCCCAACCAACCGACCTATATCATACCCCGAAAAGAAACATGAACCGATATCATATTAAAATCTCAAACAAACTGACAGGCGCACCTATGGACTCTATGGACTGCCATTCAACACCAACCCCTCAGCAACATGATTCGCCATGGCACATACTGTGGATAGACAAAATCATGCACCACCTAAGAAAACCCTGGTGTTTGATGATTCCCCTGCGAATACCTGAGCCACAATCAAAACCCAGTACTAAAATTGTGAACCAAGAACCATGCTTCAAGAATGAAGAAGGCGGAAATCCGCAGCGAGTTATGGCTGGGATTGGCCCTTACTAACCTTCATCTACCCGAATTTTGATTGTGGCCCCATTGGGAAATCCATGGCCAATTCGGGTCAAACAGTGGCCAGTAAAAACCTTCCCGATATTTGAGCGATACATAATTTACGTGTTGATCAGGGATCCTTACGTTATACATCTGAACATTGCAACTTGTAAGTGGTTGTTTCCAACTTCATGTTGGTGTTGAGAAAACCACGTGTTTCAAATAGTTGCAACTTGAATTTCTTTAAAGGAGCCCTATTGCTCAAAAAAAACAACAACCCACAAGTCAATACGTGGCTCACCAGGACTCCCAATTCGCCTTGGCGCACTTCAGCCAGGCTTGCTCCGACGCCGCGTGGAAGAGGTCGTCGTGCTCGGAGGAGCCCTCCTGGCACTCGTGGAAGTCCTGAGATCCGATCGGATCGATTCATTTGCGGACTCGGCGTTTCTTTTTTTGAGCGTTGGCTTTTGTGATCTACTGGCTTAGTTTGTTAAAAAAAAAACCGGTTGGTACAACAATTCGGCGCATTGGGCGACTCGGGCGACACTTCCAATGGTTACCCCTTCCAGTCGACGCCTTTAAAGGGACAACCAATAGACGACAACTATGGAAGGTGGATTGGGAGAAACACGATGATTCTGACGCACGACTTCCAGGATACACATGACTGTCCTGAGGTCTTTTGGTGCAAGCCTGGACCGGTCTTGGGTTTGCTGAGCAGGGCTTGGCACAACATAGATCACACCAAAACCTGTGGATGTTTTCTCGCCTCAAAATCTCGTGGATGTTTCCCCCATGAGTGTCTGAAGAGAGCGGAATATGCTCAAGTGTTTGCTTGGCCGCCAACAAGTTGCAGGTGCTTCCCTAAAAAAAAAGAAGAACAGTCCCAACAAATCCTAGGCTTCGTTCCAAGGAACGCTCAATCAGCGGATGTTTCCTCAATGGAACTGAACCTGAACATTGTCGATTTGCAAGAGGGAAATCATTTTCTTCTCTTAAGGGGCCTGCCGAAATTGTCAAGGGACTCCTAAATTGCCGGTATCAAATGGCGAATTTTGTCCTGAGGGAAATAGTGGATTTGTCCCCAGGGACCCATAGTGATTGCTTCCTGAAAAGAAGCACAGGTGAACAACCGCCGAGTTTTGGGATATTTTGCCAGCTCCTCACTTCCTGAGTGGATGGGCCAAGGACTAGCTGATTAGGGCTGACCTCAAGCTCCAAGCACATCTTGGCTCACATTGAAGAATTTAGGGCGTGTGTCCTAAAACAAAGACCCCCTCGATTTGGAGGGGTTCCCTACGATTTCAATGGCAACCAGAAAGAGGTGGAAAGCTTCCCTTGCGGCAAACAAAATGATACGATCCAAGCGGAAGACCATGGTCCCCAGCAACTGGACACGAGCGCCAGCAACCGATTGCCGGCACCTGCGCGGCAAGGACAAAAAAACGCCAGGGAACGTCCCATCGAGCTTCCCTGAAGAAGTCGTCCTCTCCTCAGCTCATACGGCGGCTCAAAATACGCACCCGAAATGGAACCCTGGCAAATGGGAAAGTAGACTCAAACCTGCGTAACCCTAGGTCTTGAATCTTGAGCCACACCCATACCAATGTTACAAAAATCCATTGCAAAGAATCGCACGGATTGGTTCAGAACTCACAGCTACAAACACTCAGCAAAGCACGCATGCAACTTCCTTGGGATATCACACCTCCACATCACAAACAAAAAGTGCACTGCCCCACTGTCCCCCAGTCTCAAAAAAGAAAACTAGTCTCTGACTATCCTCCGAAACTCGAAGCTAACATTCTGCCCCATGGCGATGACAAACAAAACTCGAGACTTAAATGCGAGCCCTCCAAACAGCATAGGTGGCCTTTTGGAAATATCGATGTCCCTGGTAAATGGAGCAAAACCCATCTAAACCAGTGCCATCGATTTTTAACCAGGCTCACCTACAAAGGACACCTATGGTCACGAGTTGTCTTTGATTCTCAAACCACAAAATGAAAGTAGATGTCGCAAGTCCCTTTGGTTAAGAAACGGGGACGACGTTCAACATGGTAGACGAATTGCGCACTCTACTTTTCACCAGTAAGAGTCATGTTTTGCGCAAGGACAAGATCTTCACACCCACAAGACCCTGATACTCAGCCTTTGTCCGATTGACTCCGGCAAGACTAATCTGCGCCGATTCCTCACTCTTGAGATCAGAGACCGTCCCCAAACGGGAATCTCGTTCTCCGACCCGAGAAACTCTCAAGATGCAACACGGAGTAGCGTATGTTGTTCTTTCTTTTAGCATGGATGCTCCAAATCCTAGAAAGACATCATGCCAAACCCTGCGTACCAATCCATGTGGGTGTGTGTTTGTAAAAGGGAAACCCAAAGAAACACCTACCCATTTCGGGTCCAACTACTAAACATAACAAGCCAACTATTGATCCAAAATTTCGGCCGTGGGGCCGAAGAGGCTATCGACTTCACAGACGCGGCCCCGCACGTTGCAGCACTCCAGACTGCCTCGGATCAGATCTGAGTGGACGAAGGTTAGTGCAGTACCATGCCCTAGCCGCCCTAGCCCAAGACCCAAAATCGGGTCTTGAACCCCTGAAAGCCTCATACCCTTTTTACATTTCTTGGGAAACCAAATGGATACCACTCACTTTGGAAATCCCCAAAATTTTGATACACACGACAAAAACCCACGCACGTACGCACACCCACACCCACGCCCACACCTACACGCGCTCGCACATGCCCGCACCCACACCCACAACCACAACCACACCCACACCCACACCCACACACACACACACACCAAAACACACACACACACATCCACATCTGAGCCAACAGTTTGACTGTTGCCAGGGTTTACGTACTTCTAAGCTCGCTTGCCACTAAAACCATGTTTCCAACCAAGCACTTCGAGAAGTGAGATGGTTTCCCTTTGACCTATGACCTATGCAGCAGGGTTTGGCAATACGGACAGCGGCCACCACGTTCCAAACGACAAAATAAAACCATCCGAAAAACCTCCCAAGTGGTTTGACACATTCTCCGGGCGTGTCTTCAAGAGGGGAAGCAAAAGCAGATGGTCATGGCCTTCCAACAAACAGACATGCCCAAACGAGGTATGAGTTCTGAATGGAAACATTGGGACGCATGTCCACCAGCAATAATATATAATATGCTCTGAGTATGTTCCATATCTAGTATACCGACCATATAACATATACTTGAAGCATTTGCTAAGTGTGCGCCATGTCATCCACTTTTCAGTAGATGAAGCTCAATCTTGACCACTGCTCCAAATTTGTCTCTAAATGCCGAATCAAATCCCTGAACAAAAACAACACTGGCAGTGCTTTAGTGTCACAGTTCACATCAATTGTGCCAAGGCGCTGCCTTGCCCCATGGCCGAAGATGAACCCGAAAAGGAAAAAACAAACTCCCGTTTCCGCTCTCCGTCGCCGGCGGAGGTTTGGCCCGCCAAGCGGAGTCACAGGGAGAAAAGCGGACGGTACTGGTCAAATGCGGGGTTTGGTTTAACTGATTTAGTTGATGCTTGAAAAGTTGTTGTTGAGTGTAACTGATGCTTGAAGAGTTGCTGTTGAGTGTAACCGATGCTTCAAGAGTTGCTGTTTAGTGTAACTGACCAAATTGATGCTTGAAGAATTCTTACACTCTTCACGCGGATGCGATGCCAACTGGAAGTCGAAGGTTGAGCAGCATGTGGAAACTCGAAAGGTGCCATGACTCGAGGTTTCACGAAAATACCCGGAGAACCTCGCTCCCATTTCACAAATTGTCTCTGAACCTAGTCACTGGTCCCCTTTTTCTTTTTTTGTATATTCGGACGTCCAGCGGCAAAAGGCTACGCGGCCAGCTCTCGAGCCAGCGGCGAATGGTTTCAACACGTGCCCAACACTCTCCCTCAGACTAACATGGAAGCTCCCAGAATCTGTAAAAGGAACCAAATCTTCCAAAAAAATCCGTTCTAGAGCTTCCATGTTGGCCTGGGGGAGGGTACATCTACTAGGTCCTCCAGTAGAGAGGTCAGAATAAGGGTACCAACTTTTTTCAGGAAGTCTATTTTAGTAATACCCTCCCTCAGACTAGCATGGAAGCTCCCAGAAGGCCTCTGTAAAAGGAACCAAGTCTTTCAAAGGGGTCCGTTCTGGAGCTTCCATGTGAGCCTGGGCGAGTGTACATCTACTAGGGTCCTCCACTTAGTTTGAGGTTAGAAGAAGTTGGTACCCAGTTTTTTCTTTTTTCTGTAGTCTATTTTAGTAGGGGAACCCTCCCCCAAAAAAGAAACGGAAGAGGGCACTACTGGGGGACCTAGTCTAAATACGGGGTGCCAAAAAACCGGAGAATCATTCAACACGTTTGGCTTACGCTTTGGAAAATGAGCACGCTATTTGGCCTCACAGGAGGCACCGAGACAAAAGTCGGCCTCTTTCCCGCTTTGCCCAAAAAGGGGGAATGAGTCCAATTTGCGGCAACATTTGATTTATGATGCCACGCCATTAGCAGGGAACAGGAACTCCTAAAAAACAAAGCATCATGAGTAAGGTTGCAAATCCTGTTCGTGAGGTCGCCATACCCTGAACCTGTGGTCATGTTGGCCGACAAGAAGAACACCTTTGATTGGCCTCAAGATCTTCTGACCAACCTTGTTTTTTCCCCAAGATAGCTGTCCCCCAGTGGATTTTGCAGGGCAGTTTGGGTGGTCCGCCCATGTGCTACCCCAATTGTCAGGTACAAATAGGAGCTACCACGCAAATCAGCTGTTGACCCCTTGGCCGATTTTGAAGGCAAACCGTGTTTTGTTCCCATCCCAAATGAACACTAGCGCATGAACTCGTTGTTGGGCTTTGTTAGCCAAGCATATCAAGTTCCCAAGCTCGTTGACGGAACTCGGTTATTCTACGGGTTGTTTCCGCATTCTTTTCAACCATCGTTCTTTTCGAAAACCGATCGCCGTTTTCCCGGGGTTTCTGGAGGTTTTCTAGAAAGAATGATCCCTGGAAAGCATGGGGGAGGTACCCCTAGAATTATGCAATTACGGTTGCACAAAGCAAAATCTCAATCCAGGGGGTCCATATCTACTCATGAATTGTCCTGGACCAGAGCACACACGGGGATTTGACTTTCTCATGTTCGGGGACCCCAAGTCTGCATTCTTGGCCAACTGGTCACTGGACAATCTAAGTTGCTCCTATTCAGCTTCACATTTCGGTGACCTAAGTCGCTCAAAGATTGTTTCGGCCCCAAGCAGAGCCGTTGCGCCAACAAATCACGTTGTGCGAGGGCTTCCTTCTGGGCCGATGGCTCTGAAAACTTCCCGTGACATCTAAATCCCTGGGGAAGGCTCCCTGGTTTCGGGTCTGCGGGAGGCCACCGATGAGATGAAAGGGCTTCACAACGACGACCCCCGCCATTAAAAAGGGGCGGAGAGTCCAACTTGTAGCAGAGAAGTGGGGATAAAGCCCTTGATCTCACAGCCCTGACCTGGTGTGAAGCGGATTTCTTCCATCCGCGTCCACTTTTTGGTGTCCGGGAAATTGGCTGAGGCGAGTTAAGGATGCTCTGCTCCAAATCTTGGGACCAGCTTGTCAATCTGATGACAGCTTGGGAGCGCCGGGACCTGAAAGTGGAAAGTGGCGCAAGCGCGGGGAACGAACCAGCCTCAGAAGCCTTGGAGTAATATGTTGCGTTGTCCAGCGATACAAATGGAGCCCTTACAACGGTTTGTTTACCATGGAGCATAGGTCGCTGAAGGCCGTTGGTTCGCCATGTTCGATCCTACCTTCGCAGTGGGGTGTGGCCGAGTCCGCCGATTTGATAAAGTTCTCAAAAGGGAATATGGGAACAAGAAGTGGGTCTGTCCTTAGCTGGGGGCAACCACCAATAATGTGAACTTCCTTTTGGTTGCCTTCTACAACCGCTCCCAGCTGGGGAGTTTGATCAAGTCTGTCCATTTCCAGACGGGGGCCATCCCCAATAAGCCACCGATGGTGCCAACCTCAAACTCAAGTCCACATGTCCTCATCAAAATTAACTGAACGTAAAACTGGTCAAGTGTAGTCGGCTTCCCTCTAATTGGTGCTTTGGGGGGGCAGGTATTTACCCTCAAGAATCCCGCGCCAATCCAACCACCCAATTAGCACCTCGAAAGATTCAGTTCGAGCACAACAGGCTTAATATGAGTCATAATCACAACCTGGTATTGAAATGGTCTACCCAGAACCATGTAAAGATTAAGAAGGTGGATATCCGCAGCTATTTATGGTTGGGATTGTCCCTTACTAACCTTCATCAATCCCCGGGTTTTGAGCAAGTGGCTCACATGATGAAGATCAACTCGAAGCCAGCTGGAACCGGATGACAAGGGGCCATCGGAGAAAAGCGCTCTCTTTCGTTGGTACCCTCCCAAACACGGAACCTCACCGACACCTAGAAATCACTTCCTTTCTTTCAGGGGTTCCACATTAGGGAACCAGGTCGCGTTCCTTTGAACGGGTTGGTTCCATATCAGTGAACCAGGTCGATGACCTTCAAGGGAAACCCTCCCCTCCAAAAACAAGGGGAACAAAAAGCTGCATTGCCTGGGCACCACTGAAACCCCTCCTCTAAAAACCAATGTGGAGAGTTGTTCGTTTTTGGTAGATCTCACCAGTTCTTCCCCCTGCTTCTTTGTTAGCAATTTTTTAGTACTCCGAAACGAAAAATCCCGCAGGTTGGCAAAAAAAACCGCTTCGAAGCACACTTGTTTTTTTGTTTTTTCGCGTTTTCTAGACCTAAAGAACCGACGCCGGGTGTTAGACCTTTTTTGAACCGAGACCGGGTGTGTGATCTTCGGTGCGCTCGGATCGCCTTGCAGGGGCGCATCCCCGGGATTGGCGGAGGGGCCTCACGCAAGCCGCTCGGAGCGTGCCGCGAACCGAACCGAAATCGGTGGATCACTCACGAGGCGAGGAGCCTATGCCAGCAGCCAAAGGAAAGAATAAAAAGAAGGAAGAAAAAAGGAGCAGAACACAATAAAGACAAGCAACGAAAGAACAACCACAAATATAGAAAGGACAAAAGACCAAATTGAAGAAAACAATGGTAAAAAACACATGGGGCAAAAAACAACAACAACACAGCAATGCAAAACAACAAAGGACAACAATAAGGACATACACAAAAGAAGGACACACTAAATTCGGAAAGACACATATAAAGGAACGAAGGAATCAACACATACAAACAATAAATTCAGCAAGGAAGGAAGAAGACACAACTGTATTTAAACAAGACAACACACACACATACATAAATACAGACAGGAAGGAATGATGTTCAAAGACATAATGCTAGACTGGTGAAAAAACACAAATCATATCACTGAAGCAGGGGCCTGAACAAGAGATTGGTGTTCCTTGATTTGTCGACTTAGCATCTCTCTTTGGTTAGCCAAACCCTCCCCACAGCCAAAGGAACTCAAGACTCAAAGTGTTTAAACAAAAGATGTTACTCGGACGTTCGGTCAAGTTAGTGGTCAGCCACCTGGGGTATGACCTACTTAGGATAAAACCATGGTGGCTAACCACTTATGTACTAACTTGGCCGAACGCCCAAGTACCCTCTGACAAGGAAGCTGTCCAGTTTCACATCTGCTACAAGTACCAAACTTGGTTAAATGGAAAGCCAACCACTAAACCAACTAAAAACCCAAATGGCTAAGGGGATGGCTGGAACGAGCAAGTGACATGGAAGCTCGCAAGCCTGATTGGAAAGAGTACTTCTCTCCTCATAAGAGTGTCCCGGTCCTCCAGTAGAGACGTTAGAATGAGGGTACCCTTTTTTTTCCGTGGTCTATTCTATACTAGGGGAACCCTCCCCCCAAAAAGGTTAAAAGGGCACTACTGGGGGACCTAGGCAAGGGACCGCCTGAGACGACTTGTGGTTAGTTCAACGATGCATATGCTTGCTGGCCAGTCATTTGTCAGTTGGAGAAACAAAGCGTGAAAAACAAATGGAGAACAGTGTGAAAAAAACTAAAAACATGCTGCCTGTGATGCCTCAATCGCATGCAACAAACAGCCATTGTTCATGCTGCATCGAGACAGGCGCTCACTCCATTATTCTGCCACGCTTCAGCAAAGGTCTATGCACTCGCGTAAAGCGCGCGGCACAAATTGCTCGCCTCAACGGTCAGGACGCTGCGCCGGTTAACGAAACCAATCGACTCACCAGCACCATGGCCACTGACGAGTGAGGCCCTCAGCGATGCCTAGATGTGGCTTGAAACCGGCAAAGCGCCTTGATCACGCTCTTGGCAGGCTGAGCCTTGATGACAACTTCGGTGCAGAACCTGCAAAGATGGACAAGGGAAACCAAAAGTTCATCCTTGAACTGAACCGACCCACCTCAATTTAGAACGAAACAAACATACATGGGCAAACTAAAAAATATGTGCTTGGCCGAGTAAGGAACATCATCGTCCTTTGCTGCGTCATGCAAAGCCGCTGGATGACGTTGCCAGCGGCCTTGATCTCTCCGATGTCAACCTGACCTTCTCGGAGCTGCGAATTCTGAACCTTCCTCGGGTCCGTCGAAGAAGTTCGCCGCCCATTCCCGATCCCCTTGGCCGTCTTCGCCTTCGTGAGAAATCTCAGCTTCTTCATGTAAGACATCATGCTCTCCAGAACAAAGAGAAACTGTAGCAAACAAGAAGAAGCAAATGTCGCCTGGGGAGACGGATGCATAAAACGGCATCTGCCTCTGGAAGAGTGCGACTACTGCGCAGGCAAGCTTGGGGAATAACGGCTGCAGAACATCTCTTGAGACAATCCGTGGAGCTCGATGACTGAGGCACTCGTTGGCAACCACCAGACCTGGCACCAATCTAGTAAGTGCATGGGTCAAAGTCCAAATCGTACCCCCAGTGTACATCCCAATCCCCACTGAAATAAATAAACTAAAATGAGTGGTCTACCTAACCCAAAAATGATACCATTGGTTCTGATCCACAGCCAAGTGGCTTCCTGTTCGTCGAATGGGAAGTACCCGGTCTGAAGGTCGAACTTGTCGAACAAAGGGGTCACATGCGGCTTGGAACCATCCGTTGAGAAACCAACTAGCAGGGAGAAGGGATGCCTTTTTCGGGGCCGAATCACACCTTTAAGACACATTTGGTTCATAAACCTTCCCTCCTGCCCATATCGGAACCCGTTGATTCAATCTATTCTTTTTCCGGCATTGGACAATTGCTCCAGAGCATGAAAGCCAAACAATCATGAATCGCAATGCTTGCAGAAATATGGTTTTGAGTTTTTTCACCTCTATTTTAGAGGCAGTTGGCTTCACATTTGGCTGCGGGAAGTCCATTGCCATTGGCAAGCCGGAAGTAGTGGGGCAAGATAGTCACAAGTTCAGAGACGCAAAGGTTGCACAGTGTAACACACTTTCATGGGGTTGTGCGAGGCCCCTACGAAAAGAAAACTCTCTAAACCGACCCAAACGTGCCCGGAACCGCCCGGCCATTTGGGGCAAGAAAAAGACGCAAAGCGTGTGAATTCAGGCTTCCTAGGACACGAATCCAAAAACTCGTTGGGACCTCTTAATCTGGTTGGGTGACTTTCTGAATGCATCCTTGGGATCCTGTTTATGGAACCTCCACCCGGAGAACCCAAGTGACCCTCCACCCGTGTCTGAGATTCCGGCTGTAGATGAGCACGGCGCCTGCAATGCCAAGACGAAACACAACTTCTTCCACTCAGAAAGTGTGTGAATCTCTGAAGGTTTTTGTATTACACCCTGGGAGTACACCCTTGGGAAATGACCCAGAATGGTTCAAAATAACCCGGTTTTATCCGGAAATGTGCCTAAATGGGGTCAATACCCTGTGGGTGTATTCCCAAGGTGTAACAAAGACAACCCTTGGCGAATCAGAGAAGGGTTGGGTGACTCCCAATTGATTCCAGCAAATGGGTTCTACAATGATTCACGCGTTCTCCCTGGGTGCAAGCTGGCACGCGTCCGTTTTAGGGTCCCCTGCAACATTGATTGCCCCCAAAAGGTGATGTTTACAACCCAAGCGGGAAAGATGGTGGAGCGCCAAGAATATGTCAGGGGTTGATTCCCGAGCATCGTCATTTTGAACCAGCTGCTTCCCATGTGCTATGGTTCTCCAAGAAACACTTTAATAGGCTATGATGTTGAATTGGTTGGACCGGGTGGGACCCGTTGATGCGCATCATTTACATGGCCAGTTGACCACCAAGAATAGTCAGTTGCAACCACCCTGGCTGCAAAAAAACAAAAAGAAGATGTTTGGGGCATTAGCTCAATCCCATGTTTTCACCTTCCGCATCCTTGCCGCGGGCCAAAAGCCCGCTTCCGCGAACTTCCGCGGCACATGTGTTTCATGGTTTGCTTCCCCAAACCTTCCGCGCCGCATGTTTTACAACATTTGCTTCCACGAGTATTGGCGCAAAAAGAAAAGTCCTGTTAAATCAGGAAGGAAAATTGTGTTTCGCCGCAGCCTGTGAAGGCTTGCGCTCCATTGGGTTACGTTGGCTACGTGAGCACCGGCCTGCAAACACGGGGCCACGCTTCCGCGGAGCTTCCGCGAACCTTCCGCAAACCTTCTGCGAAATCCGCCGGCTGCTTGGTCTTATTGCTTGCTATTGGCAACTGCTCTTCTAGTAAGAGTTGCGTTTCTTGTACGAGCAACACCCTCCTGCTTCTACTGGTAATCGTTTCTCCGTGCGTTTCCACGCACGCATCATGAAACAGTTGATTTCATATATCAGTCACAAAGCATCCGCAAACCTTCCGTGAAAGAAATCCCTTCCGCGAAGCCTACTTTGAAGGAGGATATGAGCACCAAACCACTGGAAGGGAACTCACATGCCAGATGGAGGGTTTGCAACACGCAAAACAAATCCCACACACCCTGTTAGTGTTCTTCACCGGACTTGTTCTTTCATAAAACATGTGCTTTTGGCACAGAAAGTGTCTAAACCTGTTTGGACACGCAAATTATCAAAGTGTTTAAACCTATTTGGCTTGGACGCAGCAATGCAAACATATTTGGCTGTGGCTCAAAAGTAAGAAGCTGGGGTTACGCAGGTTTTAGTCTTTGGCTCCATTTACCGGTACCACTTTTTGGAGCCACAGCCATTTACCTTATTCTAACCCAATGGTGCGACCCCTGCTCAAAACCATCATGCTCAATGTCTGAGCCTCGCCTGCATCGCCGCAGGTCAAGAGCCGAGGCTCGCCTTCGGATGCGGCCTGGGAGTGCAGGCACAGAACTGAGCCCAGGAGCTTATTACGCTGTTGCATATGGATATGGGGCAAAATTAAACCACTACTCCAATATTTCTTTGGGGGGAATAAGCCACCCGGAATTCAGGTCCACCCTGATGTCCAAAAGTGGTTGGTTGTTTCATATGGCCATGGGTCAAAAGCCCTGTTATCCCCCTGTGAACATCCCAATCCCCACTAAAATAGGTTCTAAATTGGGTGGTGCACCTACCCCAAAATGGGATCCCATTGGTTTTGATGCACAGCCATATGGGTATGGGTCAAAATTAAACAACCAGGATACGGACCGCAGGTTTTAGTCCATGTTACCACTTACAGGGTTCAATGTTGGGTACCTATTTTTGCCCACAGCCATATCATTTGTTCTCCTTTCCAACAATCAGAACACAAGTACCCACACCCAAACGCAGACACACGCACACACACACACACACGCACAGAGACACACAGAGACACAGAGACACAGAGACACAGAGACACAGAGACACAGTCACACAGAGACGCAGAGACACAGAGACACAAAGACACCGAGACACAGAGACATGGAGACACAGAGACATGGAGACACAGAGACACACAGAGACACACAGAGACACACAGAGACACGCAGAGACACACAGAGACACACAGAGACACACAGAGACACACAGAGACACACAGAGACACACAGAGACACACGCAGGTTGGGAGTTTTGCAAGTTGCCTGCGACTCTTCGTGCTGGAAGGCCAGGCTGAGACTGTTTCATTCCGCCAGCAATTATCAAAGGGCAATGTAAAAGGAACCTGAGATGGGGGTGGGTACCCTTTGACCAGTGGGTCTGCACCCGCCTTCTCGTCAAAGAAAAACCAACGAGTTAAGTTAAGGTGTCATTATCTGACGAATAAGCGGATATTCACCATAGTCTTAATCCTAACTTGCTGCTGCCTGTGTCATTCTGCCTCTGTAGTATGGGCTCCAGTCTAAAAGAACTCTACAATTACATCCCCCTCTGAAAGTGCTGGTTTTGGTTGTCGGTGTTTGGTTGTGCTTCTTTAGGACAAATGCAACACCCAACAGTTCATGGGCCATGGACCTCCCTCACTTGTCCATCCTCTTGTGGTGTCCTTCTACTGAAATTGAACAGTTGTCTGCAAAGCTTACTAAAAGTCCAAACCCTGCAACGGGTGTGGCTCAAAGCTCACACACCAGGGTTACACAGGTCTTAGTCTTTGGTTCCATTTACCAAGGTGCCATTTTGATACATTTATTTGAGCCACAGCCAAATAGGAATTTGATCCCGAAGTGGAGGACATACATCATGAGCTTGCTTTGACTGTGAGCTCCTCGTACAACAGGCAGAATGGTGGGTTGCGGATCTGGGGCCCGCCGCCACCACACAATTGAGGCCTCGCTCATGTGCAGTCACCTCGCGCGACATGAGATGCCACAAAATCAGGAAGTATCCCCTGCGCAAACAATAACTCATCGCTTTCTGGGTTGGGACAATCCCAGACACTCCAATGTTGGTGCTATTTGCCAACATTCGCGAACGTTGGCCTGAGAAGGAACATTGGGGTTTATAAGGCCAATGTTGCTCTGAGAGGCATACATCCAAAATGTTGGTTCGACAAATGCACGTTCGACAATTCTCCTGCGACTAAATCACGCCAAATCAAGCCCAATCACGGCATCCGACAAATCATAGATTCCGATAAGCCCAATGTTGCCAAATTATGCCTACATCCGAATGTTGCTCTGAGAGGCTACATTTGAATGTTAGTAAATATGACCAACATGGAGTGTGTGGGAATACACGGTTCCCGAAAAAGTGAAGAAGATCGTTGGAAACAGGACAGAAGAAAGGGCCCGATTGTGGGCCCCACTTCCCTCTGTTTTCCTTTTGAGGGGTCAGTCACAAAAGGGCCCCAAAATGCAGAACCACTACCTCAAGCAAAGAAAGCATGCCTAAGAGCACAATTGGGCACAGTCCAAAGAGCCTGAGCAGGAACATGCAACAGATCGGCGCCAAAAAAACATTGTTTGGCAGGAGGCAAAGCAAACAGAAACAAACCAAAGCAAGTCCTGTGTTAAACAGTGTGCTCCAAAAAATCAATACCCCTCCGTGTGGTTCATGTCCATTTGGTGTTGCTTTGAAGGCATCCCACAAGAAGATCCCCGATATGACACCGATCCAAATGCTGCATAAGAAAACGTCCTTTGGGCAAGCTCGTTTGCCCATCACCCCCCCCCCCCCGCCACGGCGTCTATCGCCGGCCCAGAAGCAGATAGCCCTGTGAAGTATTAAATCAAAACACAAATCCGATATTTGCGGGGCCTCCGGGCAAAACATGTCGTTGGTGATGGGCACCCCTTTTGTGAGGTCGGTCTTCTTTTCTGCGCAGAGAAAATCAGGGCACTGGGCTGACAAAACCTGGATTCAAACCTCCCAAGATC